ATCTACATACCAGAAACATTACAGTTTAGCCTGGACATTTCCTTTAGGCTCTAGGATATTTCATTCCTAGCCTTATGTTGTATCATCTAGTTTCACATCCAAAGGATATTAAACAGTGTTGGTGTGTTCACCAACGTCTGGTAACAGGCTTATGTTGCTGCTGGTTTTCAAAGGGGTGGCTTTCATTTGATTGTGGCTGTGTATTTGTTAGGTTCAGATTTTGGTTAAAAGGCAGACAACATATTTGTCTTATTGCAAAAAGTATGCAAGTAAATAATTACATAAAATTTAAAAGTACACAGATGTTTATTTCTATGTATGGCTCTCATGGTATTTGTTTAAAATATGTATTTTGTTTGCTTATGGCTTAATAAATGATCTGGTAAGTGGTGGTAAAACCAGAATTTCTGGTTTCTCATTCTTCATGTACCTGATATATAGCACCTGTAATAAATGGGCATACTTGGCATTTTGACTGCATCCAATTCAAAATATATATCGTAGTGTGGGTTTTGATCATATTATTTAGTATATAATTGATTACTTTTCATTCTCCTTGACTTTTAGATTCATGTAGATTGGTGAATTTATTTTTTAACCTCCTAAGAGTTTATTCTGGTACTGTATACTGCATAGCAGGAGAATGCATGCTGGAAAATGAGAGAATAGCAACAGTTGTTGAACTTTTCTATTCCTTGCATCTATAGTTGCCCTGCACCATAACAGCTAGTTTCCTCAACAGATGCTTTAAGCAAGATTCTTTGCCAAGAGGCGAATCAGCAAGAAGCTGTGTGCATTCATACAGTCACCATGCACACACACTCTCACACTTGTATATGAGACTGAGAGGAGAGAGAGAGAGACATGAAAAATAGACATAATGTATCCTAGTGGATACATTAAAATAGACTGTTTAGGATCCTTGTTCATAGTAAAGCCAAAATCATTTTTTTTTTAGAAACAAATAGTAGATGCATTTCAATTGCAATTCCAGAGAATACATCAACACTAACTCTCAAGGGATAGCTCAAAAATATATAACATCCACAAAAGCCATTAGAATTCTTTGTGAAGAAATGTAGTAACTTTGTAATCAGGTTACAAAAAGATATAAATTGTGGCTGTTTGTACACTAGTGTTACCTATTTTTCCACAATGCTTAGGGCCAGTATCTGAAAGGGAAACACATGTCCTATAACTAGATCTAAAGTGCCACTCGAAAGTTTCTGTCGTAGAAGTGAAAACCAACAGTTTTATTTGTTTGATTGGGATCCTAGAGAATAATAGTGCTTTTGTATAATACTTGAAATGGAACCTACATCCATCCCAAACAAAATAGTCTCTTATAAGATCTTGGAAATAATGACATCATAGGCAGATTGAAGCAGTGATCCATTAATAGTGTCCTTTGTAGAGACCTATCTCAGAAGAGGACCTGACATAGTAAATTGGTATTCTTTACAAGCATAACATAATAGGATTCTCTCTTTCTACGTTTATGGAAGAGTACAAGATCCCTCCCACTTGGGAAAAAATATATTAACACCAAGGCTTCCTTGTGAATACATTCCCTTTCTCCACTGTTCTCAAAAGCATACTTTGAACCACTTGCTTTAAAGGTGGGTTAACCATGTCAAGATGATAAATTCTGATTTTACTTTTTAAAAAACTTGACAAAGAACTGAAGTAGTGTCAAGATAATTTAAACAAAATAAAATTTGTAATATCTATGCAAATGGAGAGTATTTAGGTCATACTTCACATTCCCATTGTGGAACTGGGCATACATTCTTCAGTCTCAGCTTCATCTCTGTAAAGGTTGATCCAAGCCTTCTGATGACCCCCTGATGAGACAAATGAAGCCAAAACAATTGCAGTTTGTTGAGAAGTAGAAAGTTTTCCATACACGCTTGATTCTCTACAGAGTTCCTGAGATGTCAGACAATGAATGTGGTTCTATCTATCTATCTATCTATCTATCTATCTATCTATCTATCTATCTGTCTATCTATCATCTATCTATTTATCCGTTCATTGTATATGTATTTTTGAAATTTGAGATGTAGGTTGTTAGTACAGCGTAGAAGACTTTAGTTTCAGTTTTCTATCCCAAGTAATCCTTAAATCTTCAAACTAAAACATACCTGGTCAGATAGCATCAGGGTCATCAGGTAGCCAGAAAAGAAGCAGCACATAAACACGCCGCCTTTTTAGAGAGTATAATTAGAAATGCGTAAATAGGTGTGGAAGCCACACCTATTGATGAAGAACAAAGGAGCACAGTATGTTAAATTACGTAGTTGGCCTGGAACCCTTGTTGTCTTGTCTGGTTATGCAAGATCAGATCTGTTCTAAAGAGGGCATGACTGTCTCTTTGACTTCTGTCATATCAAGTTGAGTAATAACGTAATCAGAAAATATGTATCATCTGCAACATGGTAGCTCTTTATCTATGTAGGACACAACCTTCCAGAAATCTGTCTCTTGATAGATATTTCTACCTAACTACTCAGGTCCTGTCCAGTAACGTTCACACTGAGTTTTTATAAAGTTAGATGTTGCATAGCTGAGATTTCTGTAATAATAAATAATAAGTTAACATTTGGACAGTAATTATCAAGCCCAGAACAATCAGTCTCAGACCAAATTATTCCCAGTGGCTAAATGAAAACTGTGAGCTGAGCCAGTAAAACATAATGAAGTCAGTCTGAAGAAGAGGAGATTTAGAAGAATCAAAGGTCAAAATGTAAAAGAGAATGTAGTTCATTAGCCCTGCTTTCACATGTATAATAATTACTAGTTCCATTAGCATGTGGTACTTGCTATATTAGTATATACTTCACTGTGTTTTTTCATTGTACCTTATGCTCTAATACTACAGTTTCCTCTGCAATTTCTCCTCCCAGCCCCACCCACACTTTCCCTCTTCCCCTCCCCCCCATCCATTCCTCCTCCCTTTCTCTTAAGAAAATGGCAGGCCTCCCATAGCTATCAAACAGCCACACCCAACAACCTTTAATTGCCAGTAGTTCAGTAGGAAGGGAGTAGGGCATCATGGACTGTATATATTGATTAAATGTAGAATATAGAGAAGTAATTTAAAATTTTATTACCATATATTAATTATACAAAATAATGAGTTTCATTATGCTATGTGATACATGTACATAATGTATTTAGATCATATTTGCCTCTTTCTTGTCTTCCTTCATCACTTTTTCTGGTCCTCTTTCTTGTCCTAAAATCTCCTTTCTACTTTAATATTTTTTATTTAACCTGTATTCTACGGATGAGAGAAAACATAATACTTGTCTTTCAGAGTCTGGCTAATTTATTTTGTTACTTTCCAGTTACATTCATTTTTCTATAAACATGATTTCACAAAATATAGTAAAAAGTTTAAATTATCCTCATATGATATAACTTATAGATAATTATTAAATTTAATAAAAATTCTGTAACTACTAAAGCTAAAAGGAATTATGACAGGCTTGCTTGCTTTCTTTCTTTCTTTCTTTCTTTCTTTCTTTCTTTCTTTCATTCTTTTTCTTTTGTTCTTTCTTTTTGTTCTTCCTCTTTCTTTCTTTCTTTCTTTCTTTCTTTCTTTCTTTCTTTCTTTCTTTCAGTCTCAGTCTTTCTTTCTTTGCAACAGAGTTCCTCTAAGTACCCTCGGCCATCCTGGACCTCTATTTGGAGACCAGGCTGGCTTTGAACTCAGAGATTCACCAGCCTCTGCCTCTCCAGTGCTGGGATTAAAATCATGTACCACCACAACCTAGCAGCAGACCATTTCTTATTCCAGCAGTTATTGTTACTGCTATACTTATGTTCACTTACAGTAAATGTCCCTTTATAAAGTGACATGATAACTTGTATTTGGATAATTAACATATTGCTAAATTAGTACTAAGTGATACTTGATAACTCTACTGAGATTCCATTGTAGCTAGGTTTGATTTTGTTTATATGAAAACCAGGAATTCATTCAAAAGACACTTTTAGAACCTCATTTGTACCTGTGAAGGTCAACTCATATAAGGGGAGGGCTAGAATGAGAATAGGAGGACACTTGGACATAAACATTTCTTTAGAAATGACACTTTTTCCAGTTCATTCTTTGAGTTGGATGAAACAGGAATATTCCCAGATTTTGACACAAGAGCCTAAATAACAGTAAAATTCAAAATAAATTTAAATTCTTAAAATCTAGGCTAGACTGTGCTATCAAAAAGTACCTTTCTGGGTCATGAAATATACAGAGAGTAAAATGACGATATCCTTCGGTGTGCTAGAGCTCTGCCATTGGCCATAATGACATTCACCCTACCTGTTTTAGCTACTTGCTTAGCAAAAGATGGACACTGTCTGCCAAGACAGTATACCCCAACTTTCCTGAAACTGGCGTGTATGTAAAAAGTTTTCTTGATTTTGTAATGTAAAAACAGCCGAAATCACTTCGCAAATGAGGAACACGGAAGTAAGAAGCAGATACCAAGAAATGCCAGTGTTGAAACAGCTAAGAAATTGGGGCTGATGGCCACTGGCAATCAACATCTAAGCTTGCGTCAACTTAAAAGTGTAAAAAGTTTGTGCCAATGGCTGGACGAAAAAATAAATAAAAGTAATAGAGAAAAAAATGAAAAAAAAAAGTTTGTGCCATTTGACCATTATGATCATCAGCATAGGATTTTAAGGGACTGTAAATTACTCATTCGGAGATTACATGTGAACAGCAAACAGTAGTTTCACTGAGGGAATGTCAAGGGAGCTTACATATTCGCATATGCATATTGAAAGTCGTTAATGTCCTCACTTACTTGAACTTTGCTAAATTGTCTTGTTAGCCTTTGGACAGGCAAATGTCTTCTCTTTGCTTGGTAAATTTGCGTGAATACATGAGAGACCAATGCTCTGTCTGAGATGATAGACTCTTGGTGTATACCAGACTTGCATTAAACATGTCCTCCCTTACCTCCTGTTTGCCACTGCTTTTTCCATAGGAGCTGTAAAATCAGCTGCAACTGAAAATGTCTGACAGCTTGGATAACGAAGAGAAACCCCCAGCTCCCCCACTGAGGATGAACAGTAACAACCGAGATTCTTCAGCACTCAACCACAGTTCCAAACCACTGCCCATGGCCCCGGAAGAGAAGAATAAGAAAGCCAGGCTTCGCTCTATCTTCCCAGGAGGAGGGGATAAAAGTAAAGTATCAGTGGCCGGGCGTTCAAAAGGGGCCAGTTTATTCTTTGGTTGGCAGTGTCTTACTTGCTTAGTCTGTTCTGGAGCACTGGATGCTCCGGGCCTGCTTGACCTTTCATCTTGAGATGTTGCCTTTTTGTCAGAGGATCATGTGTGATTGACTTCCTGTGTGGTAACAGAAAATACATGTGCTGTATTTGCCTCTCACAGAAATTGAATTTGTAGATTTAAGTTAAGGGAAAGCACCGCAGGAGCACTGGGTTGAGTGTATAGACAGCAGCTGGCTTTCTGAAAACATAAGGTAGAATTTAAAGCAAGTTATCCCCAACTCCAAGTTGTCCATCTGTGATAATTGAGTATTTAAGAAGATTGACTTTTGTATATCTTCTTGGTAACTGAAGATTCTGAGTTATGTATATGTGAATAAGTGCCAGTTACCCACAACATTTTCTGTGTGAATCACAAGGGAGGAAAGAAAACTTTGTTTCTTCTATTCCTCTATCAGTTGTCACCTACATAGTCAGTTCCATGTTCATGAAAGATACAATATATTATCATTTGCCCTCGTGATACCCATAATACAACTTGTTGCTTAACTAATAGTGTATGCTACCACTTTATGATACTTGATTCTGTGAATTTTTTTAGTAAGTAGCTTATAAGGTTGTATTAATTGCCATAAATCTGAAACATGGCGTCTGTAGATGTAACTATTGAACAGGATATGAGTACAGTAAGCTTAAGGTTGCTTTCATCACTGAAATTGGCCAAAAAGGAAAGAAAGGTAATGTCTTTGGGGGAAAAAGTCATTATTGATCGGTATCTGCAAGGTAAAATAAGTAGTTTGAGAGTGTTTATGCAGTATTAATGAATTTATAATTTGTATCATAGGAAGAGGTGAAATTCTTGTTAGTAACTGTTGCTTCTCGTATGTTTATGTTTTTCCTTCATGGTGCAAGGATTGAAGAGAAGTAAAAGAATAAATTATACAAGGGATCCGTGGCCTTATAAGGGGATCATGTTGCAAATACTTAAGTAGATCTTAAAAACTATTTTCTGAATGTAAAGAGTGGATTGAAAATTGAAGGGCACTATCTAGAAACTAAGTCATTTATAGTAATCATGCCAAAGAAAAGATCCCTATAATACATCTGCTACATTTGCAGACAATGGATGAATAATAGATGGCTCTACACACATCTTTGGTGCAATTGAAAGTGAGTACTTTTGGTGTCTTTGAATAATCTCACTTGTCCTTCTGAAGAGCAGGAGTTTAGGAAAGTGCAAGAAGTTGACATTTCTGTTTTGTGTCAATAGTTCAAGTGACCTCATGGTGAAACCACTGCTAATCTCCAGAATAGTATCCTCAAATCTCAGGGAAAAGAAATATCTGAGCCAAATTTTCTTGAACTATCATGCAAACAGAGGATCCTGGATGACTTCATCTCTCATTCCGGGATGGCTTGAATAGTTCTTTCTTAGAGAAATTCAAGACTATGAACTTGTTCACACTAATGTGAGATAGGGTATTTTATAGGATGATCTTCAGAGAGGTTCTTCTATGCAGAAGTGATTATCCTAAGAGACAGTAAAGATAATTAGGAGGTTTTGAGACTAGAAGATAAAGTTAGAAGGAAGGGGAGCTATTATTATTATTATTATTATTATTATTATTGAAAAATATTCCAAGGAAACTAATGAACATTGGAATCTTTTCATATCATATGTTACCTGCTCAAAACATTGATTTTTGAAGAATTCTATAAACAGATGCTAAGAAGAATCACCAGAAAGCATCTTAAATAAAACTTTTAAGCCATCAATTATAATTTAATTATAGTTTACTATATTACTGGACAGCTGACAAGCTACCTTCAGAGAAAGCTTGGATGATTTAACTGCACTTACAAAGAAGTGCTATAGCAGGGTTTTTCTTTTTAAAGATTGTAATAAGAAGAAGTTAACGTCAAAAAGATCACTAAGGTAGTTTAATTTAATTTAAATGCCTGCACTGAATAGCTGATAAGTTGCCTTCACAGCATGAACAAGTTCATTGAACTTAATGCAAAAGTGGCTACCTTTCTTCCAAAGAGCCATAAGCCACATGTCTTCTTTACAATGGGGTAAAGTAATTAAATAATGCTGTTTATATTCATCTTCTTGATACAGCTTCAAGATGCGATGTCAATGACTCTGAGTACATTTCTATACATGATTTCAACCAACAGTTCACCACTGTCATCTTCATTTTCAGTCTCGTAAAGAGTAATCTGTATATTCTTATCACCTCTGGAAATCATCTCAGGATCTAAACTAAACAACGGCGAGCCTTTCATTATTACTATTTTAAATGATGAAAACTCTTCTTGTTCTTTTTATTTAGTGTTTTATTGTTGTTATTATTATAGCACGTAAATTATTTATAAGATAATTGAAAAGTTCACTTGTGACCTCATTTCTAATGTCCATGCTTTTCTCTTTTATCTCCAAAATTTCCTCAGTTAAACTTTGCAAGCTTCGGGTTTCTCTAGAAACCTGACGACCCTTGTGGGTGAGGAGAGAATATTGTTTCTCTGTCCATGTTTTTTGATGACAGTTTCAATAACATCACAGTTTTGAATTAATAATAATTTTAAAATGCATTGAACTTGGGTTCTGGAGGCATGGCTCAGGCAAGGATGATTGTGACTGTGGCTCAGTCATGTAGCTTCTATGCACCTGAATTATTACCACCTGTTAAATGAGGATGGTATGGTTTACCTCGCCTTACTAAATCTTTGTGATGACTTTAGGTAATTGTAATTGCCTAAGTGATACAAAATTAACTACTGCCAGGTAGTTGTGAGTTATGTTTGTGGAGTTTAACAGCTTCCACAAACAATAACCTAGGTTATTGAATTTATATTTTTTTAAAGTAACTTTTGCCCCTACTGGAATCTATATGCCAATTATAGAGCACTTTAAAAAGAAAAGAATTTTTTCTTATACTTGTATTAAGCCAATCGTAACTGAATCAATTTTTTCCTCATAGACCCTCTTCTGCTCATCATATCATCAAAATTAGTCATCACTGTCAACTTGAAAAATAAAAATAAGCGTTTAGAAAATAAAAATCACTCATAATCATAAACCCCAGAAATTATACTAACATGTTGGTGGATTTATTTCTAGATTCTTCGTGTGTGTGTACGTGTGTGTTACTTGTTTATATCTTTGCATATTTAATATTACAATGTATATATACAGCTTTGTTTTCTGCTTTTCTGGTCATCATTTTCTCAAGAATATTTGCCTCCATTTGAAAGCCTATATATGTTTATATGGTCTGTATGGTGGCACAGCATATACTTCATTACTTAATTGGAAACAGTTCATTTGGTTGACCCACTGGGAAATCTGAAAATTTCTGTCTGTATTAGAGAACACCTATAGATTGGTTGTTTTTTGAAATCTCTTTAATAGCTACATTTTATTGACCAAATGCAACAAGAGATAGGTAAAAGAAAAAATATGGAGTAGATTTCATTTTGAGATTGAAGAGCTGTCATTGTTGGAGACTCTTCTATGAGCTGAGTCTTGGTGTTAAAACAATGTAGGAGGCACAATTTGGCACTGTTTATTGATACTATACACATTTTGAAGGATTTAAACCAAAAAATGAATATAGTAAATAAGTGGCTTGATTTTACTCTCTAGACAGTGTGAAGTGTGAGGCTGTTGATGTTTCTCTTTTGTGGACTACTAGAGTGCTTGGAGCCAAATATGTGGTGCATACATATCAGTTACAATGACACTTCTTGGTTTATATGCACTTTGTCCCACCTGTGGTCCAGCTTCATTTTAGGTTCTTCATTGTTTTCTCTTTACATGCTTATCTATTTTGAATATATGGGTTCACGTTGCATTTTGTGTATTTTTGTGTGTCAGCTGGCATCCATTTTGGAATTAGGTGGTCAATAAGTAAGCGAATTAATAAATACATAACTATAAATAAACCAGTAAGGAGAAAGCAAAAGCAATGAGACAAAAAATGCAACGAGGACCCTGAAAATGAAACAGTGTACCCAAGGCAATCAATGTTAGGGAGTTAAAGCTGGAAGAAGACATGAAAGAGAAGCAGGCAAGGTGACACTTGGAGGTGGCCTCTTCTTCATGACATCTGTTTTTCATGTATTTGTGTTTTAAGTCTCATACTGCTCGTGAACCTTGGGTATGTTTTGGAGGAGGCACAATGTCCTGTGAAGGGCTGCATCTTTAGAGGACCCATTTAATATGTATTTTTTTGTGGGAGAAATTTGGAGAGATCTGTGGCTTAGTGATCTGGGGAGTGATATGATGAGCCCTTTGCTTGGAGGAAACAGTGGGATAAAAATCAAATTATATTATACAGAGAATGATCACTCATTGCTGACTACTATCTGGGTACCAGTCTGTGCTGCAGGGACCACACATGAACATTCCTTGTTTTAGACTCTTTTTTTCAGCTATGAGAGTATAAGCTTAAAGCATTTAAATATATAGTCCAGGACAACCAGGAAGCCAGAACCATTTATGAACGCCAACATAAGGCTGTCATTTCCTTGTGCTCATCTGATCATGTCCATGAAACATCCAGCTCATGAATTAAGCTTGTAGCTACTCTTGCAGAATTGGATAACACTTTGAGGTTTCATCTGTACATACTGTCTTTATAGTCATTGAAGACCAGGCAGAAGGAAAATGGCTGAATCTTTTCCCCAAGGAAGTGAACTATACATAAAGAAACTTCAAATAGGCTAATTAGATCCTATGAATTACTTTAGCAACTTACCAAATGGAGAAGAGACTTTACATACTTTTCCAACTACATACTGAGGTTTAAAGTCATGTTCCTCAATCCTCCTGTGAGGAAAGGCTTTCCTTGAAGCCCCTTTATACAAGAAACACTAAATGACTTCCATAAAGCTGACCCAGTACTTAAAACTTGACAGACCTAGTAAACACTCAAGCCTTAGTTCAATGA